ATTTTTTTTTCAATTTTTAAATTCTGGTTAATAAAGTGTAAGGCCGGCGAAGTTTTCTTTCAGCTTAGAAAATAAAACAAAAAAATTAAAACAAACAGTCGTTGGTGGGGTTGTAGAGGGGTTAAACCTTGTATCTGGAACAGGGCTGTCCGCAATTGAAAAGAAATCCGCGTTGCGGATTCCGCAAACGCAATCTCAAAAAACACAGTTATCCGCAACCGTAATCCGCAATTGCGGCAGCCCTGATGGGAAAGCTCTCAGGATCAAGTCCCATCCTTTTGCTATAACAAAAAGAACTTTTGCTTCTTCCGTTCCTTAAATTCTAGCAGAATTTTGTTTTCTCCAACTCTTATACTTCCAACTATTTTTTAAATTTATCCAGCTCGATCTGGTAGAGATCGAGCTGGGCCTGGACCAATACCTGGGTTTTTCCTGTACCCAGAGTCTCGTCCTAGGCATTTTTTGACCTTCCTAGGTTTTTCCTGGGCCTGAGTTTTTCCTGGACTGCAAGCCCAGGATCCGCCCAGGTCAATAAATTAAACCCAGAGTCCAGGAACAGGTCCAGGCTTTTCAAAAATCTCGATCCGATCTCTAATTTCTAGTTAGTACAATAAAATGGAGAAGGGACAGTATCTGTTACAATAATACTTTATTAAGTTACTTAAACTAAAATTTATTAGACAGACGTATTTTTATGTCATTTACAATTTAAAAAATATTTATTTAATTAAAAAATAATTTAAAACAAAAATTTCATTAAAATGACAAAAACATTTATTTAAAAAAAGAGGAGAGTGTTAAGTATTTAATAAAAGAAAAAATAAAAAAATTGTGTGGGCGAGGACAAAAAACACACAAAAAGAAAGATGGGCATTTTAAGTTTAAGATAAACTAAAAATAATAAAAAAAATTGGACAAGAGGTTTTTTAATATTTTTATTATTAAATAAATAATTTTTTGTAAAAATTTTTATTTGAAAAATAAATTTTTTTTGTTGAACGTGTAAAGAGGGATTGTTATGGATATTACATTTAATAATTTGTTTGTAAATGCCAAAGTTTGATAAGAAAATAATACTGAACGAGATATTTGATGTCATCCTATTAGGGACCCGAATATTAGGCATCAGTGCTTCTGACGCAAAATGCCAACGTACTTGGTACGAGCAAAAAATAGAGGTGTGATACGAGTAAGAGCAAATCTAAAATTTCCCAGCACATCTGGGATATCTCTGTTAAGTCTCTGATTTGTTAGTCTCGGGTTTATTAATAACTACAAAAATACTATTTTTAAAATTTTAATGAAGAAATTAATTTAAAATAAATTTTTGGTTATTTTTTGGAGAGCAAGATACCGTATTTATTCTTATAGAATGGCCCCTCCAAAAGAATGGCCCCTTTTTGGGGAATATTGAAAAATAGAATGGCGGCCATTCTATTAGAATAAATACGGTATTTTATAACAACTCGATCTTAAACCTCAGTGTCTAAAAATTCTTTGTTTCTCCTAGACATTTTAGCCTACATATAACAGAATATTCCACAATTTTATACGAAACAATAAAAGTAAATATAAAATATAATAATTTTAACATAAAATAGACAAAAATTGTCAAAAAAATAGTGCAAATATTTGCGCAGAAAAATATATAAAATTTCTTTGGCAAATAAAAAAATATGAGGAAAAAGAAGAATTTTTAATAGTTAAAATACCCCAAAGCAGGCAACTGTGGGAAAATGACTCAAAAATAAAAAAATAAGGAAGGAATATTTAAATATTAATGAAGAAAAAATTTAAAGAAAAATATTTTAAAGTTAAAATGATTTTTGAAGACGGAAAAAGTTATTTTTTAGGGTAATTTTCTTGAGTATTTTTTAATATAAAATTAAAAATTAATTAAATTACCCTTTGTTTTTGCTCAAGTCCAATTTTTGAGAAAGGCCTTTTAAAGTAAAAAAAGGAAATGCTTGAAAAAATCGGGAAAAGCAATAAAGCTAATTGGGAACATTTTTTAAATTAAAAAGAATATTAGGTAAATTTATTCGAGGAATTTTTACTGAGCATGTTGAGGATAACATAGAAAATAACATGCTACTATAGTCCAATCTCGACTCGATAGTATTTACTAGAGATCGGGCTGGGTCTGGTCCAAGGTCTGAATTTTTCCTGTACCCAGAGTACAGGCCCAGGCATTTTTTGACCTTCCTGGGTCATTCCTGGACCTGGGTTTTTCCTGGACTACAGGCCCAGGATCCGGCCCAGGTTAATAAATCAAACTCCAGAGTCCAAGAACAGCCCAAGGCTTTTCAGAAACCACTGGGCAAGGAGAGCTGCTTAAGAGATAAAACCAATTCTCTATCCCCCAAGATCGAGATTGTAATTGAAAGTCGAAAAAAATTTCTTTAAGGCCAAAGTGACGGCAGAAAATTAACTAACAATAATATAATAATAAATAATAATTAAATAAAAATATTAACGGGATAAACAACAAAAAAGCTTTTATTAATGCCTCATTTTCTCCAAAAAAATATTCTTAAATTATTTTATTTTTTTCTTTTGTTATTAACAAAAGAGCTTTATTCTTTTATTTCTTTTATGCTCATTAATCTTATGCGGAAAAATTTTTTTCCTTTTTTTGTCTTTTTAACCTTCTTTTTTCCTTCTCAGACCTTTTTTTGAAAATAATATGGCCAATAAATAATATGGAAAAACAAATTGAAAGAAATTGATAAAAATGTTCTAAAGGAACTTTGGATCAGAGGTGGGTCGAAATTCCGATTTCCGAAAAAAATTTTGATTTCCGATTTCCGAGTTCCGACTTTTGAGCAAGTTCCGATTTCCGACTCTTCCGATTTCCGACACCTCTGATTGTTCCAACCCATGTCTGCTTTGGATCTGACTTGTTTACTTTAATATTTCTACTGATTTTATTGAGTTAAGAGTCACAAAAAAGTCTCTCTCTCCTCTCATCAGACTCTCTTTCTCACAGAAAACCAGAAAGGGACAGATTCTTTTGGCAGATAAGTCAGAGCTGTGCGAAAATAAAATTTCGCTCCCAATGAAACGAAACGAAAAAATAAATTTAATTTTTACGAAACGAAACGAAATCGTCAAAAAATCCACCTAATTTACGAAACACGAAACGAAAAAATTTCTTATCTTTTCTGTTCTGTTTATTTTATCGTCCAGAATTGTCATGTTCGCAATTGTCGTATCCACAATTGTCGTCGTACAACCTTTTTAATTTAGTGACGATTTGAGTATTTTTACTCTGATGGATATTTTGACGTTGGGACGAATTGTGGTTTATTCATTATGGGACACGTCCAAGTAGGCGCGCGGCCATAACGGCGCAAAGCCATAACTTGCTTCAAGGTTTCCGAATCTTACCAAATTTAGTATCAAACGATTCCTCTCATCGAGCTAAAGAGATTGACACCAAAATTGATACGATCCATTAATTTTCCAGCAGGTTATGGCTCTGCGCCTACTTGGCCGCGCGCCTATTTGGGCGTGTCCATTTATTCTTTATCGGTTGGGTGAGGGGCAAAATGAGGAAAACATATTTTGGTCGCTCCGTGTTTTGGTAAGACTTCGTTCCGTGTTCGTCCCGTGTCGTATCCGTTCCGCGTTTGTTCAGTGATAGGTAAAAATGTCTTTAGGTTGTATAACGGCAGAAATGGGCTTAAAACGTCAAGTTGACACAATTAGAATTTTTACCCCCACCTTGTTATTGATTTACTCTTTGTGTTTTCCTTTATAATAATTTATCTTTTTTAGAATTTATTTTTATAATGCTTATACTTTTTGAAACGGCGGCGGGTTATGCTCTTTTTAAGGTTTTATGTTTGTTACAACAATATTTGGAATAAAAGTCAAGAAAGGTTTAAAGTCTTTTATTAAAATTAGGTCTTATATTAGGTATTATAATGAAAATTTTGGCGCCTTCGGAATTTTTGAGAATTTTCGAGTGTCGTAGGCCGAAAAATTTTTTTTCTTCCTCACAAATTTCTCATTTCCATTTTAGGGGGGTGGAAGAATTCAGTCTCCATGGCTACGGGCCTGATATCTAGAAAAACTTGGATATGAGAAATTTGCCTTTTTGATGAAGATTGGGGTAATTCTTCAGTTTGTATACCCTCCTCTTTGTGCCCCCCCTTTTTTCCTTACCATTTTTTTGTATATATAAGATTGGACTCATAAAATTCTAAATTATTCCTAAAAACCCCTAAAATAAATTTTCCTTTTCTTTAGTCTTCAACTTGTTTCTTTTAAACGTTTTAAATCTATTGCTGAAGCGGTGAATAATGCAACAAATATATCTGAAGGAAAATTAAGTAAATCACTCAAACGAATCCTTAAAAAATCAGTGGAGGAGGAGGGTGAGAAGTTGGCCGTTGCTGATACACAATTGGGGACTTTGATTAAGGTTTTTAATTTTATTATTTTTGTCATGCTTTCATTAAACTTGTGAGTAATTTTTCGGAAAAAATTTCGTCATATCACCTAGACCCCGATTCTGACAAACAATATGTCAGCGAAGGAGTTCGGTAAGCTCCATGAGTCAAACGACACCAAAATTTGATTCGGGACTCAACTTTTATTGTTAGCCGACAGCTTGGCCCCCCTTATGGTTTCCGATTTTCATGGAGGTATATCTCGGCCCATAGATGTGTCCTAATTTCGGTGTCCTTCGACTCAACTCGCCTAGCTCTTTCAAAGTGCATTGTTTTGTCTGAACCGGAGTCTGGGTGATATGATCGAAATGTTGAAAAAGAAAATTCTGCGAGATTAATGACCAAAAAAGTGAAACTTATTAGCTGAGGCGTTAAAATAAAGTCTTGGTTTCTTATGTCTCTGAAAATTTTAAAAGTTTCCAAAAGTTGGTGCACGTCCAATTAATCCCTCCAATTCTGTTATATTTTTTCCATAAATTTTCTCCGTCATTTCAGAACAGTCTAGAAATTAAATGTCTTCATAACACAGCAATTTCTGAATTAATGCGTTCAATTCGAGCAAATATGGATACTTTAGTTGACGATGAAGCTATCACAAAAGAGATTGCTACAATGCGCTTGGGTGTTTCACATGCAATTGGCCGATATAAAGTTAAATTTAATCCGGAGAAGATTGATACAATGATTGTTCAGGTCTTTTCTTAATTTTAATTTAATTTTCGATCAAAAATATTCGAAAACAAATCGGTTCGGTTTAATATTATTGAGTAAACTTCTAGTTTACCGGCCCCTAGAAAAATGGGCAGGAAGTGCCTCTATATTTTTGTAGGTGATCAATTGTGCTAATTTTAAGTCCGAATATTAGTTTAGAATTCGGTCCGTGATTCGAAATGTTCGAAAACAAATCCTTTTTGGGGTGTTTTTTCCGAAGTTTTTCTTGATTTTAAGGCTAAATTTTGAATAGTGGGATTTTTTCTTGTTTTATTTAATTTAACGAGAAATTTGACTTTTTTCTCTATTAAAAATATTTTTAAAATTATTAAAAAGAATTTTTTTCTAATTTTGTTCTTTAGGCGGTTTCTTTACTTGATGATTTGGATAAAGAATTAAACAATTATGTCATGCGTTGTCGTGAATGGTATGGGTGGCACTTTCCTGAACTTGGAAAATTAATTACGGATGCTCAAGCTTATGCTAAGGTTTTTGCTTTTTATTTGAGGGATTTTTCAAAGTTTTTCTCTTATTCGGAAACCCTTAACATTCTTCCCCTTAATTTATAATTGGAGGGATCTTGATCGATTGTTTATTAGAGATCGAGATTTTTGAAAAGCCTGGGCCTGTTCTTTTACTCTGGAGTTTGATTTATTGACTTGGACTGGATCCTGGGCCTGTAGTCCAGGAAAAACCCAGGCTCAGGAAAAACTAAGGAAGGTAAAAAAACCCGGACTCTGGATACAGGAAAACCCCAGGCCTTGGTCATGGTCCAGCTTGATCTCTATTGTTTATCTACCAAAATTTTTGATTCACTTTTTTTTTTAAATTTTCAGTGTGTTAAAATCATTGGAATGCGTCAAAATGCCCAAACTGCAAAACTGGAAACAGTTTTGCCTGCCGAGCTCGTTGACCAAGTTCGATCTGAGGCTGAGATTAGTATGGGTACAGACATCACTGAACTTGATTTGGCAAATATTGGCGAGCTGTGTGATCAAATAATTGAATTGGGACAATATAGAGCACAATTACACGAATATCTTAAAAATCGAATGAGCGCTTTGGCACCAAATTTAACTGTTTTACTTGGTGAATTGGTTGGAGCTAGACTTGTTTCTAAAGCTGGTTTTTAAAATTTTTTTTAGAATTTTTTTAAAACAAATTTTAGGATCTCTTATGGCATTAGCAAAATGTCCTGCATCTACTGTTCAAATATTGGGGGCCGAGAAGGCGTTGTTTAGAGCACTTAAAACCAAAAAGGATACACCAAAATATGGAATTATTTATCATGCGCAATTAATCACACAATCGGGACAAAAATCAAAAGGAAAGGTTAGTGAAGAAGTTTTTTCTATTTTTGGTTGGGTTTCTAAGTTCTTATTGACTGTTTTTGTTGGTTAATGGTTCTACGGTTATCCCCATTTTTTGTTTGAAATTTTCCAAGGGCGTATCAGGGGGGGCTAGAGCCTCCCCGAAACCAACACCTGGATATGCCCTTGCAATTTTCATATGGGGTTAGTCAACTAAATAGCAACCACATGTAATCTTATAAGTATAAGGACCTTTGTACTCTTTGGGCTTTTACACTGCGGGCCCAGGAAATTTTCGGAAAACAAGCGTCTCGGGGTTGATGGGATTTTTAAAGTAATTTTTAGAGTAGAGTTATACATATGCTTATTGTATTTTCTTTTAACATAACCTTTTTATCTTTTTCTTCAACATCCTTGGGAATGTCCGTAAATTTTTAAACCTGATAAAATGTTTAAAAAAATTTTTTTTAATTTTTAGATTGCTCGAAAATTGGCTGCTAAAGTTGCTTTGGCTACTCGAATCGACGCTTTGTGTGATGAATCGCTTGGAAGTCAACAAGGAATTGAGGCCCGTGCTTATCTCGAGTCAGTCATTAAAACAGAAAATTCTCGAAGTGGGGTGAAAAAACAACGTTATTCGGGGGTACAATATTCTTCAAAGGAGGCGTATACATTTAAAAAGTTGGTTTAAAATAATTTTTTTAAATGTTTTTTGGATTTTGATAGGGTTGGATTTTTTCGAACCGGCCGACGTTCGGGTCTTTTTTCGGTCCTCATTTTTTTTCGGGCCGTACCGGTCAAGTCTTTTTCGGGCTCCATTTTTATTGAACCGGTGCACCGAATCTTTTTCGGGTCAAAATTGGCGGCCCGGGCCGATCTTTCGAAACGAACCTGACCTCTAACCCTAATCTTAATGAATAAATCAACAAATTAATTTTTATTTTTTAGACAAGTTCATCGTTATGACCCAAAAGTTGACATATCATTAAAATCGCAAAAATCAAGTGGAGAGGAAACGCCTGTAGAAAAGAAGAAAAAGAAAAATTTTTCTGAATCTTTTGTCGAAGAAGGTGAAGGAAAAAAAGAAGTGAGAACTGAGGGAGAAGAGGGAAAGAAGGTTGAAAAGGAGGTTAAACAAGAAGTTGAGGAAGAAAAAGCTGAAGAAGCAACAACAACCAAATCAAAATCTCAAAAAAGGAAGGAAGCAAAAGCCTTGAAAAAGGCGGAGAAGGCGAAGAAAGCGAAGATAGAACTGGCTGGGGAAGAAGAAGAGAGCGATGATGAGGAAGAGTAAGTTTTTTTTATTTTTTTTTGAAGTTATTTGGTTATGAGTAGGGAGGGTTAGGATTTATATGGACTATCAATCTCGAAAAATATGGACGGAACATTAATTATCGATCAGGGTTGCTCGAAATAAAAATTCGGAGAATTTTTTGTAATTTTTTAAAAATTTCGCTTCGGAACAAAACGAAACGAAAGGGCACGAAAGAGCGAAACGAAATTTCGAGCAGTCCTGTTATGAATTAAAAAAGACCTTATCAAGATATGCTTAAAACTACGACATTTTTGTACGTTTCAGAACCCCCATGATCCCAAGAAAAAATATGGAAATCCATATAAATCCGACCCCAAGTTATGAGTTTAAAATTGTTATTTCGTTGTTGTCCTTTGTTAACTTGTTCAACACAATTTATATTTTTCAATCCTAATTGTTACAAATAAATTATTTTTGAAAAAAATTTTTCAGAAAATTTTTTAAATTAAAATAGGGAGAAATAATTTTTAAAAATTTTGTGTTTTTCATGTAAATCTGTCAACATTTACTTATATAATTCAAGCAAAAGCAAAACCCTCGGAACATTCTCTACAGGCCAACAATAACATTTTTTGAAGTGTCTCATAGTTGGGATATTCGGGTAAATCCAATTGATTAAAACACGTGTGCGCTGAAGGAAGACGGTCTTGGGAACGGGTGTCTTTTTGAATTCTTAAAGAGAAAAATTGATTAAAGAAAAGGGAAAGAATTTCCTTACGTAAATTTCTGAGTCCCATTCATTCCTTCCAAATGAGCAAATCCTTGAAGAGGTACTTTTGAAGTTCCAGTGACAAATTGAAGAAATTTGGCTTTGTCTTCTTGATCAAATGAGCGTAAGGCTCGCCAAAACCTGAGAATATTAAATTTTAAAAATTAAAAAAAAATTCAAAAAAAACCATTGAATTTGTTGACTCGTTCTAGTATAATTTTTATATTCAGTATTTACACATAAATCATCTACATCAATTTCAGGAAGTCCAGAAATCAGCAATTCTAATTCTTGTTCATTAAATATTGAAATAAGATTTCGGGGAATTAATTCATAAAATCCTTCCAAAAAGGCATTAAGTTGTTGACGAATAGAACCTTTAAAATGTAAATTTGTTAGATAATATTTTATAAAAAATAATTTAATAATTAGGATTGGAGTTTTCGAGTCGGCCCTACCGAGTCTTTTTCGAGCCAAAATTCAATGCCCGACTCGATCTTTCGGATCGGGCCCCCAAACCTATTTATAATGGTTAGAAACCAGAAAATCTTAAGTGGGGTTAGACCTCGTGTTTAAGAAACAAAAAATTCAGATCTGGACTCGACGAATTTTTAGAATTCCGACCAGTTGCCGATTCCCAGAACCTCAAACCAAATTTTTCTATATCCCAAGGGTTCGGTCTAACCACAAACAAAAATATCAGAAAAACAAGAAAATTTTAAAGTGACCTGTCATTTTCATTTGACACATTAAATGAACATATTCTTGTTTATTCGCATCTGTTACCAAAAGTTTAGAACCATTATCTTTAAGCTGACGTGACGAACGGACACCAAATTCTTCAACTTCTACACAAAACATTAAATCATAACCCAAAGCTTCGATAGAATTGTTTAAAAGAAATTCTAAGGATTTAAAGATTTCGGGGTCTTCACTTTCAATATCCTGATATTTAACTGAAAAAAAATATTTTTTTTATAAAATTAATTGCCCTATATTTAATTATTATTGTGTTATGTCTATTTTTGTATTATAAATTTAGAGAGTACAGGAACCATCAAAAATCTAATCCAGCTTCATTCGAGAACCCCTTATTTAGTTATATTTAAAAGTAATATTGGGAAAATTTATAGAAAATAGAAATTGTTAAACCAGAAATATCATCAAAAACAAAATGACAAGGAAAATAAAATTTAAAAGAAAAATTATCCTATAAAGCCTATCAATCAAAAAACCCAAAAAATTTTGGAGAAAAAATTTTTCTTCCCGGTTATGACAAATGTGGTAAAGCCAGAACAGGGCGAATAAGGAAAAATTTTTGTGGGCCCTCGCAGACATAAAAAATCATTTGTATATCGGTTACGCTTAATAATTAAAAAAAACTAGGAAACCAATTTTCTCTCTCGATTCAGGTAGTGGGAGATGAGGAGTGTCACTAGCCCCTTAGTAAAAAATTTCTCATCAGAGAAAAAAAATTTTGAGATGGAAAATCATCAAAATTTTATAAAATTTAATTTTAGCATAAAAACAAAATAAAACCGTGAATATTCAAAATATGTTTGTAGAAAGCTCTTGTAAAATAACAATCCAATTGTTTATTGTCATATATTGCTTTAGCAATTAAACGCCCAACAAACTTTAAAAAAATTTAGAAAAAAATTTTTTTTAATTTAAAAAAAACTTTGAAATAGTCCAAATGTTCAGGATTAACATAAGAAGATTTATTAATCATATAAGTCACTCTATCACCTGGAGCATTAATAAACAATGCATAATTTGGATTGAAAATTTCACGAGTTATTACTTGATACCATTCACGAAGCAAACCACCTTAAAATTTTGTTTTTAGAGGTTAATTAAGGAAAGTTTAAATAAAGAAATATGTGAGAGAATAGAGAAGAAATTGTGAATTAATTTTTCAGAAAGTGAAATAAAAACTTATTGAGAGGGGCATTTACAAGAATGAAAAAACCAAGAAAATAAATATACGCTCGTTGGTTTCATGTCCGTAGTTGGGAAAAATTTCAGAATGAACGGGGGAACAAAGAAAAAATTATTTTAGGCCTGAAGTGTTGGTGGTGAATGTGCCAAAATTTTTATTGTTGACCCGCTACTAAAATTCTGAGAATTTCGCCAAAAATTTATTCTCTTTCTCCAAAATTTATTCATTTTCCCCATTTCAGGAAATTACGGGGGACATTTCTGAAATATCACATTCGGGGTCAGCCCCGGAGGAAAAAAGCACAAATTAAAAAGAGATAAGCTATTGACTATGCGCCAAAGATATCAAAGACAATACTACAGATCGATTAGGTTGAAATAAATACTTGGTAAATACTTTAATTTTCTGATTAGAAAATTCAAGTGAAATTTTCCAATAAAAACCCTAAAAAATTTCTCACCAGCGTCTTGCCCTTCTTCACCTTCAAACATTATATAAAAACGAGAACGCCAATCAGAATTTCGTAAGCGATGTAATTCCCGAAAACTGTCACCAAAAATATGGCTTCTACGGACACGTATAGCAATATCTTCTGCTCGGTAACTTTAAAAAATTTTGGTAAAATTAGACAAAAAATTAAAAATAAAAACCGATTTCTGTCCCGACTGTCAACTTTTTTGAGTTCTTTATGAAAATATTTTCGTTTAACGTCAAAATCCAATAATTTGGGAAAATGTGTAAGAATTGCAAAAGCATTGCTTTCCAAACTTTGATTATTTCCTCGAAGAATCTGATTCAAAACTGAACGATGCTTTTCTAGAAAAATAATATTGATTTTTGAATTAAAAAAATTCTAAATTGAAAAAACAAAAAAAAAATTCTGAATATATACGACAATCAGGCACGTACCCAGGGGGTAGGGCGCTAAAGAAAAAAAAAAGAAAACTGGCTCTTTATCTTCCAAAATTTTCCTACGACATTAAAAATCAAAATTTTTGGCGCCTTCAGCGCAGAAAAATTTCCCGCTTGGACCCTCCCCCAAAAAAATCCTGGCTACGGTCAAAAATATAAAATTACCGCGCCAAAAAAGTGAATTTTGAGAAATGTAAAAATTCGGAGAATTATAAGACGCCAAAAATTACGCATTATTCCTTCTATTTGATCTTGAAAAGGGTAAGGCTTCGAAATAAAAAATATATTATTCTACCATCGAAATCAGGCCAGTAAAAAGAAAAAATGGGGGGGGGGACTGAGTGGGAAAAATATTTACAGCAACGAATTTTTGCCGCCGAAGGCGAAAATTTTGAGAATTTTGGAAGAAATTCCAAATTTTTTCCCTTTTCTATTTTTCGCCATTTCGAGGGGGGATTTCCCCTTTGTTAAGGGCCTGAACGAAAAGTTTCCCAGAAAATTTCCTCAAAACAGAAAAGAATGACCACAAATCACGCAACATCAAAAATATCGAAAAAAATTTTCTGTAAATAAAAAAAACCTGCAAACGCAAACATTTCCTTTTGATAAGAATTAGCATCATTTAAATTTACTGTCGATGACGGTTGTGAATCAGGCGAATTAACTGAAGTAGATTGTGGTTGAGTTAAACTTTGTAAATTATCAACAGTAGAAGTTGTTGTAGTTTGTTCTTTTGTAGAAGTTGATTTTGGTGATTGAGGAAAGAACATTGAATAACAGAGAAAGAACGCCTCCGCGGCTTTAAAAATAAAATTAAAACTCGCTTGGGAACGAATTATAAGCCAAGAGGGAACCCTTAAAAAATTTTCCTAGCTACTAATCTGCCCAATTGTATAAACGTACTAAAATAAGAAGAAAAACGAGCTATTGGGAGACGCCTTAAAGAAATCCTGCGTCCTTATTTTAGTTTTTAAAATCTTTCAAAGCCTATACTTTTAAAGTGTGTAAACACGCAAATAAGGGCTGAGAGGTTAATTTCACTCTAATTACCCAGCTATCGCTGTTAGGCGTTGCCCCCGGAAGTGAGGAAAAACAATCAAACAGATAAATAATTCGTACTTAAACTAAACCGCAGATAAGGGAGGGAAGGAAATAAGTACCAAAAATATTGGTAATTCCAAGCTTTGTCTTTTTTTTATCAATGTCTCTTGTTTGAATCTATCACAGGGGAATAAGGTAAAAACGGAAAGAGAAAACTGACCATTATGGACATTTTTAAAGAAGAAAAGGGGGGAGGGGAGTACGAAGCTTGGAATTATCAAAAAAATTTTACGAAAAATTTCTAGAAAAAATTAATTAAAAAAAACCATTTTGAAGAGCAAGAATAGCATGATGTGAGTCTGGCATTTTCTCTAATTGAGTTAAACAATCACTTAATTGCCCCCAAAGTGAGCGTAATTCATCCACCATTTTTACTTGTTTTTCAAAATTTGGAGAATTTTGGATTGAAAAATTGGAGTCCTCCGATTTTGTCCCTTCTTCAGCTTTAGCCTCTTTTTCTTTGTTTTCAGCCGTTTTGGGAGCATCGTCTTTACTTGCTGCATTCTTTGCTTGATCCAATTTATTTAAATGAGTGTAGAGGTAATTTGCTGTTTCTAATGAACGCAGTAATTTTTTGGAGGCTGTTTCTAAGTTGGGAAAGTCTTTTATTGAATCCATATCTAAAATAAATTGAAAGTTAAAACAACAAAAAAAGGGTGAAACAGACAAAAGATATTTTTGAAGACTGAAGTGTAGGTTGGTGCCGGACCGGATCCGGCTGAGTTTTTTAAAAAGTCGGGTCCCAAATTCGGGTATTTTGAGATTTCCGGATTTTTCCGGAACGGATTAATCCGGAAAAATCCGGCCGGATCTGGTACGGCTCTAGTTGAATATCCGCAATCTGGATCCGGGTCCGGCAAAATTGATTTTGCCAGCACTAATAAAAAAGGTTGAAAATGGGCAAAAAAATTTTTTGAAGGCAAAAGTCTGTGCACTGAAACGACGTGTGCCTAAACTATCAGAGCCGTTTCAGCATATGCTCAAGTAAGTAAAAACATTTTACGGTAATTTGTTTGAGAGATCTGCTTAAACCTGCTTAAAATTATCTCCCGGTACCCGGTTTTTTACTTGACCGGATTCGGGTCTGCGGTTTGAAATAAACAAATTCTAGGCTTATATTTGAATTCGACTCATTAGATTACCTACGGCCAACCCGCAAAACTACCAATAAGCACATTGCAAATTTTTTTCTAGGGGACAATTAAGCAGAAGATTACCAACCGTTTGCGAGAGAGTTTTTAGACAAATACCTATCTTTTATTAAAGCGTTAATTATTTAACGTCATAAATTGTCATTATACATCATAAATATTTTCTACATCATTTAAGCTTACGCTTAGGTCAAAACAATTTAATAACGTAATTAAAAAATTTTTTTTCTCGATACAAAAATAGAAATTCCATTTTCTAAAAATAATTATTCCACCAAATATACTATTTATCTTTAGCGTAATACAAAAAAGATTTTTAATTCGAAGAATGTCAATTTATTTTTTTATTATTTCATTTGACGTATTTAATTTTAGATTGCTTAAATAAAGAAAAATATCTCTCATAAGCACCACCATTAAACCAAACATAATTTTTCTTATCCTTTTTTTCTCCATTAAAAGGAAGGGATTAGTTAACATATTTTTTACACATATTTTTATACAAAATATTTTTATATAAAACCTTATAAATTTATTTTTAAAATGTTAGTCTACCCGTTTGACTCAACTTTTTGTCACATTTACAGCTAGGGAATAACAACTAAATGTGAATAAAGCTCTCTTGAATAAGTCATCTTTTAATTAAAATATATTTCCTTACCAAACTAGACCTAGGGAATCTATCAAAGGGTTAAACACTAAAGTTTGGATTTGCCAATTTTTGGATAAATTCAAAAAAGCGGCCTGCCGTAATCATTGACTGGTCATTTCCGTCTTCCTTCTATTTATGTATTTTTAAGAACACCTTGATTTCTCATTCAAATCCAAGTAGCAGGGATCGCGCTGACAGAAAGCCAACTTCCCGATTTTCGGAAATCGGGAAGTTGAGTCGGGTTGGCGCGATCCCTAATAAGTAGTGGAGGAGTGCCACAAATTCAGGAAGATACACAGAGGAAGATACCACCTAAATCTTTTTAAGTTCAAGAAACATCTTATCAAATATTTTCAATCACAAAAATTAATCAAAATTCCCTTAAATTATTCTTTTGATTTAATAGAATTATTTTTTTATTTCAATCATTTTCTCTTTTATTTTAATATTTTCTTTAAGAATATCCATATTTGTTTAAATATTTTTAAATGACGAGAAATTGCGAAGGAGGAAAGCTTATGACTTTTAAATCCCTTCTCGACCATTTTTACTCCCTCAATAGTATTAAATAAATACAAAATATTATTTACACACTTATGACACGGCTTAATCTTTTATTTTTTTAATAAAAAATTGTTAGGCTTCCTCTTTATTTTCACAGCTTCATCTATTTAATAATTTTGTTTTCTTCTCATTTCCATTAAAACAATAACTCATTCTTTCATTATTCATTTAATTGCCTACGTGACGTCTGGCAAAACAAAAAAATCTTTTTTTGTTCTTTTTACCCAAGACTAGTACACTTTTTAACTCTATCAGAAAAATGTGCGGAAGATGACAAAATCCCTTCCCTTTCATGTTTTTCAAAAATTCCAATTTCGTGTTGCTCTGAATATTTAGACTTTTTATTGGGGTTATTGGCAGCCGGTTATTAACGAGTACTCCAGGTTTTGAATAATTCAGTTCTTAAAGACCCGGTTTTCGAATTTATATTTCAATTATACTATATTGTTTACCCTATCTCAAAATAAGTTAGTAATTAGGTTGCCGTTTTAAGTCGGGCCGACGGTCAAGGCATTTCTTTCGGGCTTGTTTTTATCGAGTCGGGCTGTACGTGTCTTTCTCGGGCCAAATATATTAGACCCGAGTCGATCTTTCGGTCCGAGTCGGTGCAACTCTATTTGAAATATTTAGCGAGAATGATCATTTTTCTTAATAATATTTTCTAATAAAATTAAAAATAATTTTAGAAAATAATCTATAAAAAATTATGTATTCATTTCCACCAACATCTTCAACAGCTACATGGGAAGGAGGATTACCCCCTCAATTCGCCCGTTCCAAAATTCTTTATTCTGACGAATTCTGTAAAATGACAGACGAAATTTTAATCATCAAGAAATTCTTTTTTGGGACATTGAGACCTAAAGTTGTGTTTTTGAAGGATATTCGAGTTGTTTATTTTGATGAACAAACTATTGCTCAACGTAAATATTCACATAGACGAATATGGGGGCGAGCACATGGAAAGTCTATTTATTGGGCTGCTGATTTTAAAAGGTAAAAAAAATCAAAAAATTTTTGGGGATGAGAAGAAATATAGTAAAGCTGCGGGGCTATAGCGGAACCGATTCTCAAACTATTAAGTAAATAAGTTATTAATCTGGAACCGGTAAGAACCGGAACCGTTCGATTTTTTAGAACAGAGACACCACTTTGAGACATCGCTTGATGGGGCTAGGTTCTCAAGGTAGGGTTGGGGTTTTCGAGTTGGCCCAACCGAGTCTTTTTCGGGTCAAAATTCGATGCCCGACTCGATCTTTCAGACCAGCCGGATCGGGCCCTCAACCCTACTCAAGTGTATTTAATGAATTCCACAAAATTTTTAGACTTTACGAAAAAATGTTAAGATAACAGTTTTTGGATTTGATAAATTGTGGGGTATCTCGTGTGGGGGGGGGGTATCTCAATTGTGGGGTATTTCATCTCCTTTATACATACCAAATTTCCGATTTTCGTGAATTCTTTCGGGAATCGTAAGCCGGTTCGGCTGATCCCTAATACATACATAAATTATTCTGCTGTCTTTATTTGATAGACAAATAGAGAATGATTCCCAGCCAAATCTAAGAGATTCGATTAAAAAATCAAATAAAAAGTTTCTCAATTCAGGTGCCTACCAGGAATTGACAAAGCAAATAAGAGCGATGTAATTGTAGATTTGGAGGATGGAATGCTTAAAGGATTTACTGTATCCGATGTTCAGAGCTTTTTAAGTGTTGTTCGTTTATGTGCACCTATATCTACAATTATTGTTGATCATCTAGATTTTGCTTGATTTTTGAAGAAAAAGAGAAACGGGTTTTATTTAAATTGACAACTATTTTGTATATTTTCTCACATATTTTTTATGAATATACTTAAATATTTTAAATATAAAATCAAGATTAAAAGTATGTATAACAAGATTGACCGTTTCCAGCTAGGGTTTGAATGGAATATTATTTTTTCGAAATTTTTTAAAAGTGTAAAGAGTAGCCAACGGGCAGGATTCGAACCTACGACAACGCAGTCAATGCTCGCTAGGCCTTGCTCACACAAATGCAGTTGCTCTACCACTAAGCTGCCGGTTTTAATGCATTAGTTGAATCAACATTACAAAATCAAGTTCTGACATTTGAGCCAGTCTCGGTTCTGTCTCATCCAGCTAGTGTTATCCAGGCTCCCTTGAATCAGACTCGTGGAACCGTCAAAATGTTAGAATCGATACAATTAAAAAAATTAAAAAAATTTTACAATTAAAAAATTTTTTTTTTAAATTTAATATAATATTTTTTCTGAATTTATTAATTTTTAAAATTTGATAAAATAAGGTTTAGTAAAAAGTGCCCATGTAAATGACTAATTTCTAGAATCGTTAATTAAATATGAAACGAAATTTCAGAAAATTATGAAATTTAGCAATTGTAAAATAGAAAATTATAGAAATTTAAATTAGAAATACGGCATTTTCTTTTCTTTACGACATCTAGTTGCAGTGTTGCAACCTCTGTCATATTCATGAGCGTATGGTAAATGATGTTGATTATGGATTTTATCTTCTCCGGTGGCTCCATATGAAATAAATTTATCTTTAAATAAGTAAATTAGACTTTAGTTCATTTTGCTTTCCTACTCAATATCAATGGAAATGATAAAAAAATTTTTGTAAAATTTTTCAAGCAGTTCTAATTGCCTGATAAATACCGTATTTTCTGAAAATATGCCCCCATCAACCTCTAGAAAGGGCTTATTTTAGAGAGAGAGAGGGGGGGGTTAATTTAGAGAAAATACGGTATTAAAGCTGATCCGTTTTTGATCATTATGAGAGGGTAAAAGATATGGAAAGGGCAAACAATCATTTGCGGACGTGAGTGGGGGGGGGGTGTCGGAGGGGTAGATAATGAGATAATACCTTTATTAACAACCATATTTGATAAAAAAAACTTGGTAAAAATGGATCTAGTGAACTAACATAGGAAATCTAACCTAGAAAACCAGAAAAGAACTAGGGGATTTAAATTCCTTAATAAACACTTTATTACCTCCACAATATCGTTTATATCTTGCAATTTCATCAAAATTAAATATAATACTAGCAACATAATTAATGTGAATATTTAAAATAATTAGTAAAATATAAAAATTAAATCTCATTTTATTAAAAATAATTTTTTAAAAATTATTTTAAAATTTTCAAGTAATAATTTGGAAAATGGCTGGAATTTATGTCTAATTTTATTTTAAAATAAATTAATAAAAAAAATTTTTTTTAATGTATGAAATCGTCTATTTTAATATAAAATTAATTTTAAAATTTGTATAAACAATTTATGGATTTTAAAATTTTGAAATATTTTTGAATTAATTTTTGGTTCAGAAATTTAATTTTATTAAATACTGACGTAAAATAAAAAAATTATTTTTAGAAATTAAAATTTTTGCAAAAAAATTTGCTTATTGTAAATTAAAATTGATTAAATTGAGGTAAAATATGGAGGTAATTTTTAAAATTAAAATAAAGGGGAGAGAATAAACTAGAAGCAAAATCGAATCTGAGGCACATGTCCTTGCCCATTTTCCATTTCGGTCACTGAATCAGAGATGGGCGAAGATTCTCGACCAGCGCTGATTCAAAGGATATGAGAAGAATTGTCTGGATAAAGGTAGATAGCGATAGAGTTTATTTATAATGTTATAAACATCTCAATTTAATTCTGCTATAATATATCCCTTAAGATCCATACAACCACTCTTAATTCACCTAAATCGACCTATCACATTCCTACATCCTAAATCGGGGTTATCATGGATTATGAAGATCAAGGAGACTATCAATGGATTAGAAGCGATATCAACGTAAATAAGGGCAAATATTTGAATTTCGTAAATTTTTGATGTAACTTGACAATGTACACCTCGCGAATCCTCTTTAACAATTTTGATTTTCTTTATTTCGTTTCGTCTCTTTCGTGAAAATTAAATTTATTGGATGGTTTCCGACAATTCAGAGTTCCGACACATCTTTCAACCCAAAATTGATATCAAAAAATTATTTCAACCCCTCACCTGTATGCATAACTTTAAAAATAATTTTAACTTTCAACTACTTAATTAATTTAATAGGAAATTTGAATTCAATTTGAATTTAATTAATTTTAAAGTTAATCGACTATTAATTTCTTTTAATCTTCTTTAATCCACGATTCGATTATGTATTGGATCTGATCCTTTCCCAACATCTCTACACAAAGAAGATGTTAAGAATAAAAATAAAATTAAAATAAAAAATAATATTTGGTTAAAATTCATAATTTTTGAAGAAAAAATATTTTTTTGGAATTTTTGGAATTTTTTTTAAATTTTTTTCAAATTTATTTTTGTCAAAATTGGTGAATTTTTCTTTACTTAAATAACCGAAAAATTTTTTTGTGAAAATAATAATAACTTTTGTTTATTTGTTTTTTCTTGATTTTCTAAAAATGACAACCAAACAAAAAATAAAATAATAAAAAATTTTTAAATAATAAATAAAAATTTATTTTTAAAACTCATGACAGTCTTTGCAAAGAAGAACAATTAAAAAAATTTTTTTTTCGTTGAAAAGTTGCCAAACTTATTTGAATAAAAACGCTAAAAATAGGACAATGTTTTTTTTTATTTTTGTTTGTTTTTTGGTTTATAAAATTTACATAAATCAGATGACATTTTAATGTTCTGAATTAGATGATAAAAATAATATTTTGACAACCAGCTGCAAAATTTTATTTTTGTTAAAAATGAGAACAATAGGTAGATTATAAAAATATTATCTAAAAATTGGAGCTATATTTTTGTTAAAAACTGATTGTTGCGTGACTTGTGTAAATCTAATCACGTGAATATATTTAAATATTGATGAAAAATAAAATTTTTTTTGATAATAAATTTTAGCAAATGCTTTGAAAATTAGAGTTGGCCGGGATCGGGATCCCGGTCGGGATCGGGCGGGATTATCCCGGGTTTTTCAAATCCCGATCCCGATTTTTCTGATCCCGGTCCCGAAATAAATATCCCGATCCCGATCCCGGCCCATCTCAATCCCGAGCCGGGATCCGGGATCGGGATCGGGATGAGCATCAGATCCCGATGCAAATCCCGACTTTATAAATTGACTAGAAGTCTGTGAATTAAAGCTAACAGAAGGGGGAGGCATGAAATAAAGAAAAATTTTCGCCTGCGGCGCAGAAAAGGAGCAAATTTAAACAAAGCTGTCTTTAAAACTTTGACGAGATATTGCGTGATTTGGTGTGATATCGAGCACTCAAGAGGGGTTGAGGGGAGTATAGGTGGATTTGGAGCATAGAAGGATATCGGTGGATTTAGTGATTAAGTTACGAGGGACATGAATATATCGCTTAATCACTCAATTTCAGTTCTTAATCGTCCACATTTGAACGTAACGCATTTAATCATATAGACTTGAACGTTTAGACTTAAATGCCCTTGGCCTTCCAAGATTAAAAATTATTGCCTGCGACGCTTAAAAGGGAGGAAATCTGGCACCTTGGCCTTCAAAATTTGGAAGGCCAAGGTGGCAAACCTTTCAAGATGTGCAAATTTTTTAAAAATCAAAAGCCCAATTTAATTTATCCCCCCACCCCCATTACCTTATCCCCCCTTAATACCCTGAACCGGAAAGTAATCATGCGTCTATGAGACTTTAACTCAATATTTCAGCACCGCAGTGGAAATTTTAGAATTATATTGAGTCGTTTGTGAAGAAAATAAAAATTTAAAAGTTTTTAAAAATTTTTTTAGTAAATCCCGATCCCGAGTTTTCAATCCCGGTCCCGATCCGGGATCGGGACCGGGATCGGGATCTCCAGTCCAAATCCCGATCCCGATTTCGGCCTATCCCGATCCCGTGTCGGGATCCGGGATCGGGATCGGGATCACCATTCCAAAATCCCGATCCCGGGTTTTTCTCTAAATCCCGATACCGGCCAACTCTATTGAAAATGGAGTTAATATTAGAGTTGTGCGGGATCGGGATTTTCGAATAACGACCCCGATCCCGAATTGAGACCGGGATTGAAAAATTGGGATCGGGATTCAAAAACCTCAGCTCAACCCTAGTTAATATGGCTATAGTTTCTAGAAAGTTATTAGTCAAAGTGTGATGCTTTGAACAAATGCTCTGAATTAATATTTGATACTAGGGTAGCAACCCGACCCCGAAAACCCCGACCCGAACCCTGACAAAAAAATAAAGTCGTTTTTGCCCCCTATAATGTCTGAGGGTAATAAATGACTGACCCCGACATACCCGCCCCTGAAGGCTCGGGGAGCTAACCTATTTGATACTATTAAAATTAATAAAAGACGTCATTGATAAGAGGAAAAACTTTTTAATCGATTTTTAAAAAAATTATTTTAAAATAATATTATCGACAAAAAATTTTCCGGAATTTAGTTGAGTTGCTTAAATTAGTGGATTTGAAATTTTTATTTATACAGTCGACCCTTTGCTGAAACTAAAATGAGTTGTACACCAGGAATGAGCCCTGCCTTATTTTAAAAAGCAGAAGTCGGATGATAGACGACCGCTCAATCTGGCATCTTTTAAATACTATAATTATGAGGAAAATTAAGATAAAATTCTGATTTTTACTTGCAGTAAGTAAAACAATCTCTATCTATTGGTATAAAAAATTGGAAGGATTTAAGGTTATCGGTGATTTAAGGAGGATTTTGGTGGATTTGGAGGGATGTCGATGGATTTAGAGGGAATCCATCTTTTGGGCGAGCATTATTTATTAATGGCTTTTCCCAACCATTAAACTATAATTATTATTTCTCGCTATTTCCTGTGACACATCCCATTCACATGCTTATGTTTATACATACTAATAAATCAGTTCCCAGTTAGTTAGTCTTTAATATGTGCCCCAATGAGAAGCACACCGGTGTGGCTTGGTAAAGGCTTAGGCTAGTGTTTGGCCAACCCAATATATCTCATTATATATCTCATTATACTTTATGAGAAAATCTCTTTATATTTTGCGAAAAGTAAAATTAAATAAATTCTAAGCCTCCAAAATCATTCTCGTC